GTTTGTGGTTTAGGGTCTAGGGTTTCGAGTTTAGTGCTTAGGGTTTAGAATTCAGGCCCCTACACAAAAAGCCATACGGCCTTACACTGATGCAAAGACTGCCAGTTCCAGCTCACAGGGCTTGTGGCTCTGATCTTGCCCAGTCTTGAACGCGAGTCAGGTAAGCCAAATGCCCTATGCTTTGGGATGTTCCCCCTTATACTAGCAGGCCTTAATGGGATTAAAGGGTTTAGGGTTTAGGGTTTAGGGTTTAGGGGGGGGGGGGGGGGGGGCATCCCAACAATTACTGCACATGTTGCCTTAATTCCGGCCTGCGGCCTGCGAGGATTGGGGCTTAGGGCTTAGGGCTTAGGGCTTAGGGCTTAGGGCTTAGGGCTTAGGGTTTAGGGTTTAGGGGGTTAGGGTTTAGGGCTTAAGGGTTTAGGGTTTAGGGTTTTGCAGCGTGTCTCTTCAAGAATCTGGTGCGTGTGGCTAAGCCTTTTGTGCGGCCTCGATTTGGGCGCTCAGGGTGCGGGTAGTGGTGGAACCCAAAATCCCCGCAGCAGATGTGTAGTTACGTGTAGCGGGGATCCCCATCCACAAAACACATGGCAACCCGCTAGGCCCTAAACACAAAACCTCAAACCCAAAACCCTAAACCCGGCTGGGGATCTTGGAAGTTAGGGGTACCTCACCTAGTATTTGGGGGCGGGGTCTATCTTTGGGGTCCCTGATTTTAGCGAACGGGATGAAGCTGTTGCGTTTAGGGGCTAGGGTGCCAAAGGAAGTCCGACTTGAACCGGAACCATTTAGGGTTTAGGGCTTAGGGCAGACTTCAGCCACCTTTTCGCGCGCCTCCAGCAAGCGTAGGACGAGAAGAAAACCACCGGCGTCACGTACGCAGCTGGCAGCAGGGTGCGAGTCGCATTTTCGGACACCTCCCATTCCTTACCCTCCAAACCCCACTCCCAAACTGAACCCTTAACCCTAAACCAACCCTAGACCCTAAGCCCTAAACCTTAAACTTAAACCCTAAACCCGAAACCCGAAACCCTAAACCCGAAACCCTAAACCCCAAACCCCAGCACATTAGCCGTATTGATCCTCCCTGGGTGTCTGGGCAAGGAGTCTTCTCTTCCAGGTGGAAAGGTTTAAGGTTTAAGGTTTAGGGTTTAGGGTTTAGGGTTCAGGGTTGAGGGTTTGTGTAGGTTCCCCTGTTCGGAAGACATGGGTTACTTTAAGTGATGGCCCCCATGTGGGTCCGAATAACAGCACGGAGGCTTTTTTTCTGGGGCACCTCAACAAGGACCATGTTGTAAAACACAACAGGTCAGAGCCATCTCCTAAATCCTCAACTCCCAAACGGCCCTAAGCCCTAAACCCTAAACAATCCCAAATCCTAAACCCTAAACCCTAAACCCTAAACCCCAAACCCTAAACCCCAAACCCCAAACCCCAAACCCTCAACCCAAATAAACACCCTAAACCCCATTAACCCTTAAACATCACCCACAACCGGGCCCAGGAACTGTTCTTCTCCACAGCCCCTACGGTGGAAAAGTCCTCCCCTAGCTCGGAGGCGGAGCACAGGCCCTGAGGCAGGGGCCCGAAAAGGGTTTAGGGTTTAGGGTTTAGGGTTTAGGGTTTAGGGTTTAGGGTTTAGGGTTTGGGGTTTGGGGTTTAGGGCTTAGGCCGGGTTTAGCGTTTCGGGTTGAGGGCGCGCTACTCGAGTCCCGTCAGTACCTTCTAGCTTGGGCTTTGGGGCCTGTTTGGGTTCAGGGTTTAGGTTTTTTTTGGCTTTTGGGCTTTGTCAGAGTTTAGGCTTAGGGTTTAGGGTTGAGGGATCGGGGTGCGCCACTCCTGAATCCTGTCTGAGCTTCGAGCTTGGGTCTTAGGGTTCTACGTTGCTGGCCTTTAGTTCATTGCCAAATTACATGCAAAGACCCCTCGTTTGGCACAACCCACTTCCTCCTCAAGAAGAAGTCGGTTTAGAGCTTAAAGGAGTAGAGGGTTTAGAGTTTAGGGCTATTGGGCTGAGTCCGGTTTAGGGTTTAGGGTTTAGGGTTTAGGGTTTAGGGTTTAGGGTTTAGGGTTTAGGGTTTAGGGGCTTTCATGCTTAAGAGTGTTGCGGCCAAGAAGGGTCGAAGCTCAGCACCGAGAAGATGCTATTGTGCTGCCTGGCCCCTTGACAGCAAGATTAGGGTTTAGGGTTTATATAGGGTTTAGGGTTTATATAGGGTTTAGGGTTTATATAGGGTTTAGGGTTTATATAGGGTTTAGGGTTTATATAGGGTTTAGGGTTTATATAGGGTTTAGGGTTTATATAGGGTTTATATAGGGTTTATATAGGGTTTAGGGTTTATATAGGGTTTAGGGTTTACGGAACCAGAAGCAAATACTTGTCTGGACGGCTTTCTGCAAAGCCATGAAGCCACTTCAGTGTTGTGACTTGTCCAGGGTTGGTCTCAAGATGCAGACCAGGCAGAACACTACGCAAGCATCTGGGACAGTCTGGCATCCAGAAGAACTGCGAACTCGGCAATGCCCAATGACTCGTGGAGCGCGTCGCACCGGAAGCCACGCTGGCTACACGTGCCTTCATACTTAAACCTCAACACAGACTTGTATATTGGAGACAAGGGTGTAGGGGTAAAAAAGCCCGAGCCCTCAAGGCCGTACATCTCCAATAATCCAAAACCCAAATCCCAACAACCCTAAACCCTAAACCCTAAACCCTAAACCCTAAAACCCTAAAACCTTTCTTCCAAAAACCTTTAAGCAAGCCAGGTCACAGTCACATCGGAGGCAGGGTACTTCCTCAGCATCCACCCCAAGGATGCAGCAATTCGGAATGTAGGTTCACGGTTTAGGGTTTAGGGTTTAGGGTTTAGGGTTTAGGGTTTAGGGTTTAGGGTTTATGGATGAAGGTTTAAGGTTTAGGGGCAGGTTTGGGGGAAAACTCACAGCCTTAACTGCTTTCAGGGTAGCACCAGAAAGACATGGGCCCTTTATCCCCAAACCCTAAACCCCAGGCCCTAGAAACCCTGGTAGCTTTTTTAACGCGCTTGCCGGCCCTTGCTTCACCGAGCCTAACTCCCAAACCCAAAAAACCGGAACCCCCAAAAAACAAGGCTCCAAACACCATGGGTTTAGGGTTCAGGGTTCAGGGTTACTACAGCCCCCCAACTATACCAAGCCCCGTCAAGGGTTTGGGGTTTCGGGTTCGGGTTTTGGGGTTTGCGCAGAGTGGCGTGTAGGCTGAAGAGTCTTGCTCCAAGAGAGTCGTCGAGTGTATCGTGCTTCGCGATGGGTTATAAAAGGCCTGGTTGTAGATGGCCCTTACTTCTTGTACGTCCTTGCCCACATCGCCCAAGGCGGTGTTTAGGCCTAACTGGGCCTACCCTAAACCCTAAACCCGAAACCCTAAACCCTAAACGGCGCTCATTGCGGATGGCCCGTACAACCTTGTGAAAGATACTCCTGAACACGGCTTAGGGTTTAGGGTCTAGGGTCTAGGGTTTAGGGCTTAGGGTTTAGGGTATCCTGTTAAACCCAATAAGGGAAACATAAAATGTCCCAGGGGTCTATATACCTGGTAGCCCCAAAAGGCACACTTGACTTTTTTGGACACGCCAGCTTCCAGGGGCTTCTAGACCTCGACAAAAACTCTGATACCCGGCCCGAAATGGGGTAACCCCAAACCCTAAACCCTAAACTAAACCCTAAACCCTAAACCCTAAACCCTAAACCCTTAAGCCTAAACCCTAAACCCTAAACCCTAAACCCTAAACCCTAAACCCTAAACCCTAAACCCTAAACCCTAAACCCTGAACCCAAACTCAACCGTGGAGCCATCGGAGCGCCACAATGTCCACCTGGACAAGCGTGGTGAACTTCACCTCTCGCGGTTGGAAGGCGTTAGGCTTCAGGGCTTCGAGAGGGTGTAGGGTATAGGGTTTAGGGTTTAGAGTTTAGGGTTTAGGGCTTAGGGTTTAGGCCCAGGATTTAGGGCTCAGGGTTCAGCATTGCTGAGGGTATGGGGTTTAGGACTTGGCCTTCGGATGCGTACGGCTGGGTTGCTACATTACCCTAAACCCTAAACCCCAAGCCTGCTTCGCATGTACCGGGGGTTTCCGAAACTTGGGGAGTCAGATTTTGTTGTTCTTGGTTGAGGTCATATGCATCCGCGCCGTTCTTGACATATCGGTGTCAGCAACTGTTCTTATCTCTGGTTCATCTCAGTTTTGGAAGTAGGTGCTCTGCATGATCCCTGATAGGGGCATATTTGGCACGTACCTCGACTTCCTAGGTCCCTATTAAGACCTTAAAAGTCTTGAGGGCAATGCAGTCCGGATCACCCGACCCCCGTATTCCCTACTGGAGGGGATGCCAATATGACGTCACAAATATGCCTTAGTTCGATATTGGAGTCTAGAGTTTAGGGATATTACGGTTTCTGGGAACCCTACCTGCCAGTGAAACCCCCTAAACCCTAAACCCTAAACCCTAAACGCTAAACCCACGCAGGCTCCTGCAGATACGCGTTGGCGAAGTCCGTGAGACCGTACATGGCCCCAAACCACGTGTTGAAGTCCTTGGAATGGAGGAGGCTCGCTGTCTTGAGAACTGTTGAGGTTAGGACGATTTAGGGTTTAGGGTTTAGGGTTTTTAACTTTAAAAAACCCTAGAGCTAAGAAACGTCCTTGCAGCGGAGGGGGCTCGATGTCTTGAACAGTTGACGTTAACATGTCAGGTCTTTTGGTGATAGGGCCACCGCCTCACATTCACGGGCCCATCATCTGCTGTATATTCTTCGCTCTGATGCATGCAGAAGCCATACAGAACTATGTATTGGTAGAACACAGGCTTCTAAAGAGTTTAACCGCAGGTCTGTGGGTGCATGACACGTCGCGAAATGCTCCACATCCCTTGTTTCCTTCCGTCGCAGAGTCAAACACTAGCATATCCTGCCGCCCCAAAGCACTTTGCACTGTGCACAATCGAGGCAGCACATCACAAGATCAACTTTGAAACTCGACCCATCCTGCCTTGTTGGGATTCGTGTTGGCATGATGCATGATCTGAAACACATTCAAGTTGTATGTCCTCCTCCAGGGCAGCCCCTCTTGCTGTGCATACTCGCGCATTGCCTTCGAAACGGTCTTTGGGCGATTTGCTGATGAGGACAGGAAGCCAAGTCGTTGGAGGAGCTGACGCACTTCGAGATCTTGAGCTGGCACCTGCCAGTGGCCTTTAGCTGCGTGGGATAAAAACGCGGCCCTTAACTTCTCATCAACGTCCGACAGCTTGTCCATTGCCACAGGTAACATCTCAAGCTTGCGAAGCGTATGCTTGTTCGCGGGTCTGTTGACAAAAGCCAGCACGGCCTCTGTCACGTCCGAGTTTAAGTTGCCATCCAAATAGCCAAGCTTCCTGAGCGCTTGGATGGTGAGCTTTTCCGAATCCCGTAGCATTGCAGGTCCACCCCCGCGAAAAACTGCCCGCGCAAGCATGCTGCCGTGATTGCGACGGCCCTTTTCTTTCGAGCCCGACCGTGAAGTTACTGGAACCAAAAAAGCCAAATCAAAGTTGTATTTCTTGAACTGAGAGAAGCACCTGGATGCAGCAATAACCTCAGAAACATCTTTCAGACCACAGCTCTGTGGGAAAACTGTAAGATCGCCCAGCGAATTCTCGAACCAGAATTTCGCAGCGGATTGCATGAGGTATCCGCTGTCTTGGCGGTAACCCAAATCAGACATGAACTGCATCAATACTTCGGCCCTCCGGTCGGCGACATCTGTTGGTGTACGAGGAACCTCCAGGTGCGTCTCCCTGACACTTCCACCTTACTTCGCCAACAACCATGGGAACAAAAGGTTAAACATTATTGCTCCTACTAAATAAGGAAACCCAAACAAGTTCAAAGTTCAGCTGGTGGAGATGTAAGCCACTGCCATCAGCATGCAACAATGCTTGTACGCCGATGAAACCTTCGTGCTCCTTTGGCAATGCAGCTACGCTCACACCAATGTCCGCGTACTTGGAAAGGATCGCCCGACTGGTTTCCTCAGCCAGGACGATGGCTTGCCTTCCGTACTCGAGTGTGCTTTGCATGATGTCCATGTAGCCAGCATCCCCAGTCAGTAGCGCGATGCAATCCACTTCTGCGGCAGTCCATGAGTCCTGAACAGCTAAAGAAATTGCCTCGTCAACCTCTTCTCCTGACGGACCTCCTGTTTGTTGCTTGTCAACAGGCTGGAAGCCAATCTCTAATTCATGCATGAAATTCAGCCACTTCTTGTTCTGCTGGCGTCCTGCCGGTGCATAGATGGTTGTGTTTACCACATGGCCAGAGTCTTCCAACAATCTGATAGCGATCCGTGTAGTCCGAATGCTGAACATGTCAGCATCAACAAGTAGTTCGGTGTGTTGCCTGGCCGGTCGGGAGCCTCTGTGAGTCCGACGTCGTCGTCGATGATCAACGTACGCCTTGCATGTGTCGCAACCATACCTAGCCCTCACTCTGTGGGGAGTCTTCATTTGGCCCTTAAGGAAAGACGGGGATGCCAAGAAAACTGGAATCTTACTCTCCACATTTGAGGTCTTCATATTTTCTTATGGCGACTTATTGCCCTCCTACGACACGTACATGCTTGCTGGCCCCCGCCTGGCACACCGGCTGCGCCCGAATCAAGATGCAGCAAGCTGCTGGGAATAACACAGCAGTTCGTCTGGAGTCATTGAAGACCCGATCTGGGGGACAGCAGCATGCCCTCACTGCGTTGACAGGCACAAATCGGGGCCAGGGACCCTGCTGTGGCCCTTGCATAGCAGCACAGAAGCTGTTCACTCCAGGGTGGCTACAGGCGGCCCCTTCACTTGACACGAAACCTGTGACACATGCATTCTAACGCTTGTGCTAGCATAGGCTGTAACTGCAGATCCGATGACTGCCGAAGAGCCCAATAAAAATAAGCTGCCCAGATGTCAAAGGGGCTGACTCGCCTCCAACCCTCTTAGGGCAGTTGCACGGTTACTGTGGGCTTAAAAGGGGACCCCTTATATACCCCTTATATACCCATACAACCCGAGGGCCCATACTTCAGAACCCTTCGAAGGAGGTAAGGGGCATTCTAACGCAGGACCGAACGCCTGCCGAAGCTCGCCCCCAAAATGACCCAAACCCTGTGCACCCTCAACACGCAGCCCTAATGCAGTCTTGGGGATATCTTAAACACCTATGGCTCAAACCTACCTGAGCTTGACTGGCTTAGGTGGCATCCAGAGAGTTGGGTGTGCGAAGATTATGACTCATGACTTCGCGCCCTGCACATCCCGAGCCACCCATCAAAACCCTAACTCCAAGCCTTCTTTAACTCTCGGCTGCACTCCCACACAAGCAACCCCAAACCCCAAACCCTAAACTCTAAACCCTCAACCCTAAAAGCCCCAAACCCCACACCCTTGTTCCGAGGGTCGTCATCCACAGCAAGAGAGCCATCGTGGGGCCGGAAATTACCATCCTCGGCGACCCCGGAACCCTAAACCTTAAACCCTAAACCCTAAAACCCTAAACCCCAAAACCCTAAAGGTTCCAGGTGTAAGGTGCAACCCGAACCTAGTGCGCGTAGCAGGACGCCGGGGTTCGTCGGCTTGAACTTAAGGGCTCCCCCATGCCCTAGGTCCAAAGTCGAGGGTTTACGGTCTCAGCGCTTGCAGTTTGGGGCTTAGGGGTTGTTAGGGTCGTTACAGGCCGGCGAACCAACTAGAGCCCTAGCCTTATAATTCAGAGCAAATGCAGCAAGTCTCCCGGAACTTGAAGGTCCTCGAGCCTCAGCCTTAAGCCGCCTTAAACCCCCTAAACCCTAAACCCTAAACCCTAAACCCTAAACCCTAGAAGTCTTTGCTCCAAACGAATACATAGGAGAAAATGTCCGTACCCTGAAGCCTACATGTGCCGACCCTCACCATTTGGAGAGGTTTAGAGACCCTGAAACCTCCTGGAGTCCTCAAAACAAAACAGCTCGGACTGTTGGGGGCACAGGTGTCCCATGGGCTCCAGTGTCCACAGTGTCCCCTGAAGAATTAGGGTTTGGTTTAAGGTTCAGGGATAAGGCCTTGGGTTCGACATGAGAACTTGGGCTTAACACGGCTTGGCCGGGGCTGTCTCTGGGTTTGGCTCGCTCTGAGACGTGTTCGGTCGGTCTTGGCCCGGGCATGTCTGCATGCCGCTGCGCGCTTGCCGACGCGGAACCCGAAACTCCAAACCCGAAACCGTAAACCCTAAACCCGAAACCCGAAACCGTAAACCCTGCCATAAAAACAGGCAAACGGGCACCACTGGGCACCCTAGGCGCATGGACGACCTGGCAGTCGATGCAGTTGGCCCAGCTTGTCGTCGCATCCGTCGTGACACCACTTCGGAGGGCCAGGTTATCGCTGACCTTCCTGAAGGGTTTGCGGCTTAAGGTGTTCGGGTCGTTAGGTCAATAATAGCATATACTTCCCAGTACTTGATTTTTTACAGAGGGATAAATATGTATATATATATATATATATTTATTTATATACATATATATATATATACATACTTATATATAAACATTTTGGGCGATTGAAGATCCGAAAAATCTGTATCTACTATACCCTGGGGTTCTAGCTCGGGAGTATAGTGCGCAGCCTTTCTTGCAAGCCTTCAACCGTAATTCAGCCTGGGGCGAATTTGCTAGGTGGAGCTGCCACTCGCGGACCTAAGAGGGAACATGATTTGGGCACTGATCACCTGCAATTGTATCTGGTAAGAGCACAACGGCCAGTTTATGGTGAAGTCTCTTGCGTATATACATATACTTGAGCGGAAAAATATCCCTGTCTGGCAACAGAATCTAATCCACCTCGCTGTTCTTAGGTTTTCAGACTTTGCGGGTGCAACGCAGGGTTTGGCTGTCACGGAGTTTAAGGTGTGGGGTTTAGGGTCTAGGGTTTAGGGCTTCTGGTTAGGGCTTTGGGTTGGGGTAAAACAGTAAGATGCAAGAGCAGCACAAAACACCGCCACCTGTTGCGGATCAAAAGCACACAGCATCACGTCACTCACCTGCTATATAATTTAGGGGCCCTCATGATTAGAATAGCGTTTTGGGGGCTATTGTAGTACTACTTATAAAGGGACCACAAGTGAAAACTAGTAGTAATCATTCCGACCCTAAACCCTAAATCCTAAACCCTAAACCCTAACCTTAGGTAGGGCTATCTTACCAATCCAGGCCCACAGTCGACATCTAAAGGCCTCAGCCCACAGCCCCTCGAAATTGGGAGGGTACTCCAAACCAAACAAATACGACGACTACGGCTACCAATAATAGTCGTAGATATGTCATCTAAACATAGTACGAACAATACACCTTTTATGGTTTAGGGGTCAGGGGTGCTTTTGCAGCTGGCCTATTGATTCAGGGCCTGTCGGGTGTGTCACGGCTGGGATAAGTTTGGTTATCTTGGCATCTGGCTTTGCTTCGGCGTCGCGGGTCCATATCACTCGCGGAGGATAGCCTTCAATTCACAATCTCCACCGTAAGATCTGTGAGCGAGTACGTGGCAGCGCATGCACGCACAAGCAGATGTGGAGGTTTCCGAAATTAGGGGTACCTTATTGGGGTCCTTATTATAAGGGAATCCTACTATTTGGGTATCTATTTCAGGGGCCCCGCATTTTCGTAAACCCCCCATATACAATGAGCTAGAAGTATTCCTTCAACTCCGATCAACACCGCTTACAAGATATCTAACCCAAAAGCCGCAGCGACGGGCCAAACAAGTCTTCCATCGCAGCATAACAGGATGCAGAATGATGCAGCAACTCTCGGCAACCTTATGTGACCACAGTAAACTCCTCTGGGGCATGGAACAGGTTCTGCTCCACTAGGGCAACTGGGACCATCCGTGCTTGACGTGTGCTGGCCCTAAACCTGAAACTGCAAACCCTAAACACCTAAACCCCCAAAAGCCTATGAATGACCAGTAGTTAAAGCACCTCTGCAAGGTCTCTACATGAACACCTAAACCCCAAAAACCTATGAATGACCCGTAGTTAAAGCACCTCTCCAAGGTCTCTACATGCAAGGATGACCTGGACCTCCGCCATAGACCACTGCATGAGGCATGCCGTATGGACACACGAGGACGGGGGGGGGGGGGGAACCCTAAAGTCGGGTTTAGGGTTTAGGGTTTAGGGTTTAGGGTTTAGGGTTTAGGGTTTAGGGTTTAGGGTTTAGGTGGTGATCCATGGCCCCTTAGATAAGCCCGAAAACCAGTCATTAGCAGTCGCTCCGTTTACGACATTGAGCAGTAATTTACAATAGAAACGTTATGTTGTTTCAATGCCTATAAAAAAAACAAATATAAATAAATAAACAAATAAATAAATAAATACATATAAATAAATAAATATATATATATGTATATGTATGAGGCCCATGAGAACATGAGACCTCAACAAGCCGAAACGCGCCCAGAAGACCACAAGCGGGCCCGCCGCAAAAAATTGAGGCTCTGAGGGGTGAAGGTGTTATTTAAGTGGAGGTTGTTTTCAATTCAAGGTTCAGCTCTCAGGCCTTGGGGATTAGGAATGGGGGGGGGGGGGAGGAGTTAGTTTCAATTAGGGTTTCGGGCTTAAGGTGTGGGTGGGGGGGGGGGGGGGGGGGCAACCCTAAACCTCAAACCCGAAACAGGGCACCAGTAGAAGATCCAGTGAAAAGCCCAACGCGCCTGACGATGAAGTCCTCGATGCCCAGGCGGCCATCTGGATTTAGGCCTTAAGGCGCTTCGGGAGACGGGGGTCTAACCCTAATCCCTAAACCCTAAACCCTAATCCCGTGGCCCAGCTCCTACAAATAATGGGTAAGAGAGGTTGAGGGCTTGGTGCGAAAGGCTTATAAGAAACGAAGAGACCTGAGAAGTGGCAGTAGTAGTAGTCGTAGCAGAAGAAGAAGCAAGGGAAGGTTATAGGACCCTAAACCCAAAACCCTCAACCCAAAACCCTAAACCCTAAAGGCTGTGTGCGTCCAGGCCACCGAAGACCTGGTCGAACACGAAGCGCACGAAGCCTGCAGCTGTCGACTGGAGATTGGGGGCTTAGGGTTTAAAGGCATCATTTTTTCCCTAGAACCCTAGAACCCTAGAACCCTAAAACCCTAGAACCCTAGCACCCTAGAACCCTAGAACCCTAGAACCCTAGCACCCTGAAACCCTAGAACCCTAAACCCTAGAACTTGAACCCTGAACCCTAAAACCCCAAAACGTTAACTTCGAAACTAAACCCTATACCCTAGATCCTGAAAGCAACATACCCTAAGGCTCCTAAGCCTTTGCAGCTTAGGCACGGCCCAGGCGATAGACCTGACAGCATAGGCTTTTGGGCTTTCAATAGGTAGCACCAAGCCACTGCACCCTAAACCCTAAACCCTTTCTTGTAACTTTGGATCCTTAGCCTTACCGAGTTTCATGGGCATCTTAACGAGTTAGCTGCCCCTCATGGGGGAAGGCCCCTACGTATTCCGCCTTGCGCAGTTTAACCTAGGGGTCGGGATACTTGCTACTGGTATTCCCATATGGCCTTTTTGTGGTTATACTCTGATAACCCCCAAAACCCTACTCTAATGATTATGGCCCCGATATTAGGAATTTCCATGCCTGAGGAGGGGGGGGGAGGCAGGCTCGGAGGCAGGTTTCGGGTTTAGGGTTTAGGGAACCGCAGAGTTTAGATCAACCCCACATTGAGTGGGAGGCACTGTGTGGGGGTGTAGGTTATGTTCATTGCGGGTTTTGCGTGAACATGTCGTATGTTGTTTAGGTTTGCTTGCAAATCGCAGGCTTCGCTGCCAGACAGCTCAGACAGCTCCACTTACAAGACTTCGGGTTCATGGGCTTACTCTGAAGGGTTTAGGGTTTAGGGTTTAGGGTTTAGGGTTTAGGGTTTAGGGTTTAGGGTTTAGGGTTTAGGGTTTAGGGTAACCCTCAGTGGTGTAGGATTTCCGCGGTTTTGTGGGAGAGTTCAGGGTTCAGGGATTCAGTCTTAGGGTCTGACACTCCCTGTTCGGTTTAGCCCACATACGCCCAGTATATGATGTTGTATACGCATGCAACATGAGATGTTAATGTGTTTATTGCTCTGATATACATATGCACACATAGCCGATACTGAGTTTAATGAAAATATGTCGCAATGACTTGTCTAGTATCAAACCAATAACAAAATGGGAGCACTCAATCGTCATAACTATCTATCTATCTATCTATCTATCTATCTATATATATATATATTATGTATTTATTTATTTATTTATTTAAGCATGAAGAAAACACATACAACAAATAAAACAAACAATGAACAGATGTATAAACTAAAAAATAAACATACTGCCCCGAACAAACAATACTTAACAATGCCTACGTCTGTAAATCAAGGAATCGTAATCATAACCCATCAAGAAACGTAAAATAGTGGCGTAATCATAACCGCCAAAAGATATTTGAAAAAAATGGTCTTCACATAGTGTGGTGGAAAAACAATGAAAGTAGTAATAACAACAACGCGCAGCACCTGGACGTAGTGGACCAGCACTCGTGAGCCCTGCTGCTGGTCGACCTGTTGTGCATCGCGGGATTTGCAAAACATTAAAAGTGGCCAGGCCAAACTACCCAAGGGGCTCAGGGTTTAGGGTTCAGAGGTCCTTGACTACAACAAGAGCTTCCTAAGCCTGATTGGCGCCCCGGAAGCACCTCCTGCCAGACCCCCCCCCAGGCAGGCTGGCCGATTCTGGCGGGGCCTCTGAATGGATGGGTGAATCGGGGCTGAGGATAGGGAAGGGCGAACAAGAGCAAGAACCAACAATTAAACAAAGCAAATAAGACAAGAAATAAGATAAGAATGAAAAAACAATAAAAGAGATGAGAATCATGATGTAAAAATAGCCTAGGAGGGGGGTCTGGCAGGGGGTGCTTCCGGGGTGTGGGTGGTAGGAGAGACAAGCACCAACTGGATCTGAACCGAGGCTTCGGGTGAAGAGGATTGGGTGTTGGGGCCTTACGGAGCTCAATAGCGGTTTAGGGTTTAGGGTTTAGGCTTCATGGGGTTTGCAGGGCTTGCAGGGCTTGTAGCATTCATTCGGCTTTACAGGGTCTGTAGGGTTTAGGGTTTCGGGTTTAGGGTTTAGGGTTTAGGGTGACAGAAGGGTATAGGCCTTGGGGAAGCCAAACAGACCTTAAGCATCTGAAGGCTCCTTCGTAGCCCAGTAACCATAAAAGGAGGGGGTACCCTTTTTGGAACCCTAGACCCTAAACCCTAAACCCTAAACCCCACGCCCTAAACCCTTTAAACCCTAAACCCTACACCCGAAACCCTTTAAACCCTCAACCCTCAACCCCAAACCCCTTTTCCGGGCTGGCTACTTTATTAGGGAACTTTAGGGTTTAGGGTTTAGGGCTTAGGGTCTAGGATTCAAAATACATCACTCCTAAGGAAAGTCGAGTTCCCGAACCCCGACATCTGCACGTCACATCCGTAGTTTCTAACTTAGGGTCCCCTCTATAATATGGCACCCTTACTTCTAATAAAGACCCCATAAACCCGAAACCCTAAACCTTAAACCCGAATTTAGAGAACTCCCCCCCCCCCCCCCCCCCAAGACCCCCCCAGATCCCGAAACCCTAAACCCTAAACCCTAAACCCTAAACCCTAAACCCGAATTTAGAGAACTCTCCCCCCCGACATGCCAGCACCACCTGGAACATGTCGAAGTTTTGGTTCGTGATGCCCATGAGGGTCGTGAAGCGACTCCTGGCAGAAAAGGGTCAAAGGCAGGGTTTAGGGTTTAGGGTTTAGTGTTTAGGGTTTAAGGTTTAGGGTTTAGCCCTTCCCCCTACCCAGGCGACATGAAGCTGAACATTGTAAACCCAAAAAACCCTGCACTAAGCCCTAAACCCGAGAAACTCCAGCCTCAAACCCTCAAAGGCCCAAGACCAAGACATTTAACAATTTGTAGAAAACCTTCTGCCCAAGAGCCTGGTTTAGGGTTGAGGGCTAGGGTCCTGAAACAAGCTCAAGTTCCTGGTTGAGGTCGTGTGCCCTCAGGTTTCAGGGTTAAGGTTCTGCACCTTCAATCTGAAGGTTTAGGTTCTCGGCCTTCGAACTTGGCATTTCATGGGGCGTGTCTTAGTTGCTGAGTTCATGAGCCCCCCAAAAAAGTGTAAACTTTCGGTTCTATAGGGGGTTAGAGTCTCCCAAAAGTGTAAAGTGTGCTCACTCAGCTACTAAGGTTTAGAGTTCAAGGTCGGGGGTTGGGAGGGTGGGGGGTGGGGGGATGTTTTGTGGATCCTTGGTCGGATCAAAGAAAAGAACAGGGAGCTGTTTGATTTAAGGCTTAAGGGCTTTAAGTTTCAGGGTTTGAATCTAAGCCCGAAGCCCTAAGCCACAAAAAGGTTTGGGCTTCATAGACATTTTCGTTTCGTTTGCGCCTGCGCCAGGCGCTAAAGCGAAAAGGTTCCTCAAGCCTCTTGAGAAGGAACTCGCTGTTACGTGAAGCATCTCGTCCCTATCCCCAGTTCAGGGCTTAGGGCTTACTTCGGGCTTGGGGCTTGCTTCAGGCTTACGTTAGGGTTTAGGGTTTAGGGTTTAGGGTTTATATAGGGTTTAGGGTTTAGGGTTTAGGGTTTAGGGTTGAGGGTTGAGGGTTTAGGGTTCAGGGTTTCGGGTTTCGGGTTTCGGGTTTCGGGTTAGGGTCGGCCGATGCTCTTGGCACTCGGTTCGACCCTAAACCTGGAACCCCCAAACCCTAAACCCTAAACCCTTAACCCTTAAACCCTTAAACCCTAAACCCTTAAACCCTAAACCCTAAACGCTAAACTCGAAACCATAACCCTAAACCCTAAACCCTAAAGCCTAAACCCTAAACCCCCCTAAACCCTAAACCCTAAACCGCTTTACACTGGGCCGCCAGGCGCAAAGTACGTGTCGCCGCCGAACGAAGCGAAGCGGATCTCGATGCTCATCACCTTGGGAGTCTACGAGCTTCTGTATAGGGTTTAGGGCTTTTTGTTGGGTTTAGGGTTTAGGGTTTAGGGTTTAGGGTTTAGGGTTTAGGGTTTAGGGTTCAGGGTTTAGGGTTTAGGGTTTAGGGTTTAGGGTTTAGGGTTTAGGGTTTAGGGTTTAGGGCTGTTGGTTCGGATTTACGGCCTAGACTCATGCTGCTGTAGACGACACAAACCAAAATCGCTCAACACGGCTTATTGCAAAGGCAGCGGCCCTGGTCCAACATCCTTTGCGACCTAAAACCCTACACGCTAAACCCTAGGCCCTAAACCCTAAACCCTAAAGCCCCAAAACCCTAAACAACTGCGCTCCCTCGCGACTCCCCAAACCCCCAGACCCTGAACTGCCAAGAGCACTAAACCCCACTGTTCATAGCCAGAGGCTCACCCTTAAGCAAAACTTAGTTGCGCTGAACCCTGAACCCTGCAGCCTAAACTCCAAACCCCAAATTACTACATCCAAAAACCCAACTGTTGTCTTGGCCATCGTGTTAAAGAACCTGTGTACAGGGCTCTGTGTTTAGGCAAGGGCTCTTAATCAGCTAAACCCTATGCCCTGAACCTGACACCCTCCACCCTTGCAGTTCGATGCAAGGCCCTTTCAATCCGACGCAAGGCCTCTTACTGCTACTTGCTTAAGAACCCCCCCCCCCCCCCTAAACCCTAAACCCTAAACCCTAAACCCTAAACCCTGAACCCTAAACCCTAAACCCAAAAAAACAATCTTCCTTATAGGGCCAAGATAGGGATCATTACCTTCATTGTTTTGGAGTTCTCAAGCAAACAGTACTAGGCCCGGAGTAACCTGAGAACAAAAAGGGTACCCTTTTTGGTTATAAGGGGATTATAAGGGAACCCCAACCCTAAAAAAAAGGAAAAAAGGGCCTACACCCGGTCCGAGTTACGTACCCTAAGCCCTAAGCCCTAAACGAGTAGCTTATCCTAATCCTCACCGCCGCGGCGTGCAAAGCCGAGCAGCCTTGTACACGGCGCCGAGGTCGATCATGATGTCCGTCTCGATCTCCTGACGCTATTAAGGGGCTTTTGGGGGGTTGAGGGCTCTGACGCTAAACCCTAAACCCTAAACCCTAAACCCTAAACCCTAAACCCTAAACTTGGGGATTTCGGGAAAGGGGCCGGTCTTATTTCTGCCGGCCTGGGGACAGTGAGGCTTAGTGGTCCAAGCTGACGATGGCTCACTTGAACGAGATGCAGAATACCCCTAAACCCTAAACCCTAAACCCTAAACCCTAAACCCTAAACCCTAAACCCTAAACCCTAAACCCTAAACCCTAAACCCTAAACGAATCCTCAAACCCCCCTCCCCTCCCCCCCCCACCCCCTACACCCTACTTGGAGGTTCATGGTACTTACTAACCAAATAGCAATTGCACTTATCGCCCCATTCTGACCATGTTCGGGTAATTCAGGGGCTTATGAGTGGCTGATAAGTACAGTTATTATTATCGTGTTGTTAAGTACCACGAAACTTCAAGTAATGTTGCACTCGCAATATTCTAGGGGGACGGCTATTCAGGATTTTGGCCCTTTGTTTTGGCGGTACACTATAATGAAAAGTTTTCGAGCCGTGACTGTTTGTTTTTTTCATGGTTTTTGAGGTCCAAGTTCTTGGTTTGAGATCTGGTTCAATCTCCTGACCCCTTCCCTGCCTGACTGTTTGGTTTTTTTTATTCAGGGTCCTCGATTGTTTGGGGGGGGGGGGGCGGGGGGCGGGTTACATTATTCAAGCAGGTCCAACATTAAGCCCCAAACCCTAAGCCCCAGAACATGCGGGGTCCGGGTGGGGCTGCAGCAGGAAGTAGGTCGTCGGGTCGCCATCGATGCACAAGCTGGCGTTCGTGAGATGGGACTCCTGCTCCGCGAGGGGGGAGGGGGGGACAATGAGGGACTCGAGGGACTGGAGGGTTTGCAGGCTTTTGTAGGGTTTAGGGTTTAAGGTTTAGAGTTTAGGGTTTAGGGTTTAGAGTTTAGGGTGTAGGGTTTGTTTGGGGTTTAGGGTTTAGGGAACCCAAAACCCCCCTGAAGCCCCAAACCATACCCCTTGAAACCCAGCAAACCCCCAACCCCTAAACCCCCATAAACACTTAACCCTACACACCTTTAAAATACGGCGACATTGTTACCACCTAGAATGAGAGTCATCCCCAGGCCAGAATCTCCTGAACCTAGGTGCTTGAGTGGTCTAGGGTCTGTCGTGCTCTGAGTCTTCAAGGGCCTTGGGTGTTGTTGAGGAGGTTTAGGGCTCAGGGTTTAGGGTTTGGGGTTTAGGGTCTAAGGTTTCGGGAGCAGGGTTTAGGGTTTAGGGTTTGGGGTTTAGGGTTTAAGGTTTGAGGAGCAGCAATCTTTACAAAGCAAGACCACCGGGGGGGCTGCATGGTCCTGAACAGGGCGGGGAACTGTTTCTGCAACGAGCGGACACATCTCCAGGATATCAGGAGAAAGCAGCCAACCAGAGCCGTGGTGACAGGGATTTGATGTTTATTGCTATAGCCTCAAACACGCAGGACGCTACAGGAAACGTCAAATCCGGGATGAGGGTAGTTACATGGTCCCTGAATTTGGACCCTTGTCGTGGGAACCCTTCAAGGCCCCTTATATACCCGTAAAATCCCAAGGGCCCATACTTCAGAAGCCTTTAAGAAGGTTCGGGACCATATTCAGGGACCATGTAACTTCCCTTCTGGTAGCCCAGTAACCATCTTACAATAAGGGCACCCCGTTTTTTGGGATAGTTACTTTTACTAAGGGAACCTTGAACCCCAAAAAAGGGAAAAGGGTACCGTTGGGCTACCAGACCTTATATTAAAGCCGCGCCCGGTCCTGGGTAGGGAAGGTGTAGTTGACTGTGCCATTGGGGGCGACGTTGTCGCTGTCAGTGTAGAACTCCTGAAACGCCCCCAGCTCAAGCGGGGAAGGTGGCGCTGCCAACCCTCCCTTAACGCTAAGCGTGGCTGTTGCTTTGAAGTGAAGGTCCCCATGCAAGTGCCTCCTGCAGCGGGGCCCACAAGAAGGGTACCCCCTAGTCCCTTTCTAAAATCCCAGCGTAAGAACGTCCGCAGGGAGGAGGGGGGAGGCTTTGGGTCTAAGCTGTGCTTAGGCAGTTTAGGGCTTGAGGTGCTGAGGGTTTACGAGATGGTTTTCTGTTTCGGGTTGGGACTTTGGGCTTCGCCTGAAGAGGGGGCTTGAACGCAGAACTCAGACTCAGAGTCCAGCCTATATTCTACTGCTTGCTTAAGAACCCCCCAAAAAATAGTAATCCCTATATTACCCTCATAAGGAAGAAGCTGTTCTATTTTTTTTGGGGGGGGTTCTTAAACAACTAGTAGGAGTAGGCGGTTTGGGGTTCAGGGCTTGTGTGGGTTTTTTGGCTTTGGAGTTTGCCAAGCTGCAATCTCGCGAATGCCCGCGTATCTCTCGCCGTAGTACGGAAGCGTCTCCTTTTGGGGACCCACGGTTTAGGGTTTAGGGTTTAGGGTTTAGGGTTTAGGGTTTAGGGTTTAGGGTTTAGGGTTTAGGGTTTAGGGGTGATCAGACTTCTCCACTCTACGGAAGCTCATAAGCCCCATAGGTCTTAAACACTGATCCTACATACTACTCCCGTTAGGATTTAGGCAATGCACGGCCGGAAGATCCTACACTGCCCAGGCCCTGACTACTCCGTACTCAGGAAATGGCCCAAGTAAGTTTTTGAAAACCCTTGGTTGGACCTCATGTTCAGTGGTGTGCAGATCAGATGGGTGTAGTATAGGATCCAGAAGAATGTAAATTCCAGGCAAAACTCAACCCAAGTTTCTGCGCCTAAACTTCTAGGCCCTAAACCCCTGAAACCTGAATCATGAACCCTGACCCCTCCCAACAGATGCCCTGAACTTAGGCCCAAGACCCCATGCAGGAACCACGCTGCCACCAAGAAAAATGTTGACGCCAACGGGTCTCCTCCACCAGAACCACGAAGCAGCGCCCTTGCCAGGGGCCCAATGGTGACAAAGGTTCCCCTAGACCCTCAACCCTAGACCCTCAACCCTAGACCCTAGACAGGGAACCCCAACCCTAAAAAAAGGAAAAAGGGCCCACTCCCAGTCCTAGGTAGAGAGAGGTACGGAGGGTTCAGGGTTTGGCCCTGAACGCCGTAAACGAAAGCCCAGTTCAAACAACCTGGATCCTCGAACCCCAACTTCCCCAGCTTCCCCCTAAACCCTAAACCCTAAACCCTAAACCCTAAGCCCTAACCCTAAACCCTAAACCCTAAACCCTGAACCCCTGGAGGCCTTGAGGGCCTTAAACTTTCGGCATGGCTGGTTCAGACATTGGGCTTGAGGCTGGCTTGGGTTTGGGGTTGACATTTGGGACTTTCGTGTGTAAGGTCTAAGGCTCTGGGGAACGGAAAGGGTCTCCCTTGCGCTCTTTCGTAGGAAGTCGACAGTCGTGGGCAGTTGCGGCGTGACTGGCCACCACTTTATTGCAGGATCGACCGTGCTCACCATGCAGAAGGAACAGATCCTAAACCCTAAACCCTAAACCCGAAAGACGCCCGGCCGTGTCTGCAAGGTCTTCATTGGTAATTTGCCTCATCATGCCCTCAATCGTGATTGGACTGATGCTTGTAGTTTTCCACGATCCTTTTCATCGCAGTCTTCATCTCATTCTGCAGATAGTCGTGGTTCCTAAACACCCTAAACCTTAAACCTCAAACCTTAAACCCTAAACCCCAAACCCTAAACTGGTTGTCGTATTTTACATCTTCGAGGTTACTCTGACCTTCCTTTGTCTCATGGCACTGCGGCCAATTCGAAATTCTCCTGAATCTGGATCTCCTCTGGAAGAGCTGGTGCTAGAGGATGAATCCTAAATCCTAAACCCTAAACCCTAACCCTCAACCGCTCACTTTGGGATTCAAGGTTAAGGGAGTCACGGTACTGGGATCCGTAGAAGGCCTACACTTCCTGGCCGAAATCCTGACCCCTAAGAACTCAATGGGTAGGATGCCGTTTTGGGTTGGGGCTTGAGGTTTAGGGTTTAGGGCTAGGGTCCAAGGTTTAGGGTTTAGAGTCTAGGGTTTGGGGTTTGGGGTTTGGGGTTTAGGGCCTAATCGGGTTTAGGGCTTGGGGTTAAGGGTTTCTCATGTCAGGGAAGGATAGGGATCGCAAAGCAACCACTGGCAAAAACTAAGATGTAGGATTTACGAATGCCCGTTGTACAATCGGAAGGGTATTTAAGGTAGTCGACCCTAAACCCACCAACCCTGAAACCCCTAAACCACCCTAAACCCCCTAAACCCCCTAAACCCTAAACCCTAATAAACATGTTGCAGCCTAAACCTCAAAACCTAAAACCATCTGCGCCTTCCCAGTTGTTGGTGAGCTCAAACTCGTCGAGCACTAGTGCGGCCTTGGTCTACCAGACTCAAGGTGGTTTTTTTGGGGTTTAGGGTTTAGGGCTTGGCTTGGGGTTTAAGAGTTCTTATTTGGGAGCTAGGAATAAGGGATTCCGAAAATAGGGAGGAGTTACCATATTGGTATCCTGATTATAAGGGATCCTTCTGTTTGGGGATCTATTTGGGAGTCCCCTATTTTCGTAAACCTTTAGGGTTTAGGGTTTAGGGTTTAGGGTTTAGGGTTTAGGGTTTAGGGTTTAGGGTTTAGGGTTTAATAATGAGGTACATGGATCCTTAGGGTAGGTTTTTTGGCTTAGGGTTTAGGCTTTCAGGCCTACTTTGAGCTTCAATGATGTAGGTCATGGCTGGATGAGACTCCTAAGCCCTATACACCCTACAACCCACAACCTTTGGACATCACACAGAGGGCAGTTGCAGGTTTACAGGATGTAGGGTTTGCAGGGGTTAGGGGCTTTTTTAGGGAGAAGCAATGCCAAGGTTGCTACAGCCGCTATGCGCGGATGCCTGGATGCGCCATGAGGCTTAAACACGTACGGCTGTATACATCCTTTCATCATTCATCCGCATTCTTACCTACGGGTTCTTCGTAGGGAATGCGGGAATTTAGTATCTTATATCCCCGTGAATATACCCTTTAAACTTAGAAGGGCTTTACGAGGTACCTAGTTCTCTCATCTGCCACCAAAGCCAGTAAGTACATGCTCACACGTAGGAGCATCCTCATCCCCACACCCTTGTGTTCTGCAAGATAAGGCGCGGTGTAGCTGAGATAGAGTTGGTCTGGTATGCCGGCGCCTAAGTGGGGCAGGGTGTGAATTGTGTGTGTGTGTGTGTGTGTGTTTTTTGGGTTCGAGTTGGGGGGATAGGGGGTTTGGTGTAGACGGTTTAGGATTCAGGGTTGATCCCTGAACCCTAAAAAGCCTGAACCCTATACCCGAGACCCTCATTTCTAAGTTAGGAGGCTTCAGGGCTCCAGGGGCTTTAGGGAGTCCAACGGGTCATGGGGGTCTTGGTCTTGCGGGTTCTGGGCGTCTGAGCAGATTGTTTCTTTTCTTTGGCTTTCCGGGTTTAGGGTGTAAAGTTTAAAGGCTCTCGGGGCCCTAAACCCTAAACCCTAAACCCTACGGGATATCAGGCTTGAACTCGAGTAAGCTCAGTTGCCCTTTTTTTGGAACTGCCGAGACTCCGGGTGGTACTTATAACCCCCAAGTGTCACTGCACCTACAAGCCACCCAAGTCCTCTCAGTAGGCTCTAAGTAGACTCATGATTGGGGTTAAAGCACACTAAACCTAAACCCTAAGCCCTAAGCCCTAAACCCTAAACCTTAAACCCCTAAACCCTAAACCCATGACCCTTCAAGTAGAGCTCTCAACCATGCAAGCCGTGCAAAATGCGCCGCTATGTTGAGAAACTTGGGGGAGCGCACGGGCCCATGAGTTCCCAGAGGTTTAGGGTTTAGTGTTTAGGGTTGAGGGTTTAGGGCTTAGGGCTTCAGAGCACCCAAACCCTCAACCCTGAATCGTTCTTCAGAACCCACCTTCTCTGCCGACAGACTGGGCGTCTGGCTGCAGGGATTCGGTCCCACGTACACCTTCACCTCACAGGGGATTCCTAGACTCAAAACCGTACCCAGAGACTCCAATACCCCTCAATTAAGGAGTATTCCCTAGACCCTAAACCCTAAACCCTATTAAGCGGCCCATTAAGGGGTGTTGGAGTCTGTGGGTAAGGGCTTTCAGCTTTGCTTAGGGCGCAGGCTTCGGAGAAAAGAGTTCAGGGTGAAGGGCGTTTGGTGCTCAGCTTGGGGTTTAGGGTTTAGGGTTTAGGGTTTAGGGTTTAGGGTTTAGGGTTTAGGGTTTAGGGTTTAGGGTTTAGGGTTTAGGGTTTAGGGTTTAGGGTTTAGGGTTTAGGGTTTAGGGTTCAGGGTAGTTTAGGGTTTAGGGCAGCTTGCTTGGAACAGCAGGCACAAGAATTGGAGAGCAGGTGGTTGCTTCTGGGCCATTTGTTTGTGTTGGTTTGCTTTTGTTGTTGTCGGTGGAGGGTCTCCCTTTCAAGGCATTTTGGATTCAAATCGTTTTGGAAGAGCTTCTAACCGCTTACAAGCGAGGGGGAATCCGGAGTCTACTAGGCATCCTGAACCCTAAGCCCTAAACCGTTAACCCTAAACCCTGAACCCTGAACCCTGAACTGTTAACCCTAAACCCTAACCCTAAACCCTACATCCTGTAAGGCCAAAGCGCGCCATACTCCCAGCGCCTGGTGGAAATTATGTCGCGTGTGCATTTCAAGGGCATGAGTGGTTAGTAATGGCCCCAAAGCCCAAAGTGGGGACACCCTAAACCCTAAACCCTAAACCCTAAACCCTAAACCCCCAACCACTCGTGCCCTCGAGATCCACACGCGACATCATGTCTGGGTTAGGGTTTAGTGTTTATAAAAACCCTAAACCCTAAACCCTAAACCCTAAACCCTAAACCCTAAGGGTTTCGGGTCCAAGAAAAGACAGTTAGACTTGAGGTTAACAATGCATGGGCTTCCCTTTATGCACACAGTGGGTTGGGCCTCTCTGCGTGCTTCGAACTTTTATCTGTCTTCGAAGACGTACAAACTCCGTACCTCCAAAGTCGATCTCCTCAAAGCCAACTACACCCACACGATCTTAACCTCAAAGCCCCATTGCCCTACACCCTAAATCTGAAACTTCGAGGCCCAGTTGTAGCCTCTTGGTGCTAGGGTTTCGGATTTGGGGTTTCGGGCAGTTTCGGGGTTCAGGGTTGAGTAGACTATGAAAGCCAGGCACCCCGGAACCCTAAACCCCTAAACCCTAAACCCTAAACCCTAAACCCTAAACTGCAATTGTGCTCTCTAGCTCTGTTCCAGGGATCGCACGCTTCGAGGCTTGAACCGCCAGGAAAGCTTGCTGGCCTGCACACAGGGAGCTAACACACCACTGGGATGTTCCCCCTGAGACTAACAGGGTTTAGGGTTTCGGGTTTAGGGTTTAGGGTTTAGGGTTCAGGGTTTAGGGTCGGGAGGTTCCCCCTTTGTACTAACAGTCCTTAGTCGGGATTATAATTGAGGGGGGGGGGGGGGCGTACTAGAATCCCTATTGGGGACTGTGAGTACAAGGGGGAACATACCAACATATGGCAGCATTCCGTTTTTGTTCAGGAAAGTGGGGGTGAAGAGGGTTGCTCTCGGGTTCTTGGTGAACTCACAGGGAGGCTACATACAATCGTAGTAAAGCCTCCTCAACTCTAACTAAGCCTTGCGGACCTTAGGACTTCCGGGCAGCCCCAAACCCACAGCTTAGGGTTTAGGGTTTAGGGTTTAGGGTTTAGGGTTTAGGGTTTAGGGTTTAGGGTTTAGGGTTTAGGGTTTAGGGTTCCCTAAATCCTAAATCGCCCCGAACCCTGAACAGGCAGAAACGAGGACAGAGGACCCGAAGGGAGGCCACAAGTATGTCGGAGAAAAGAATTCAACCGCGGTCAAAGAACCCAACAAGAAAGAAGCCCTAAGCCTAAACCCTAAACCCTAAACCCTAAACCCTAAACCCTAAACCCTAAACCCTAAACCATGAGTGATATTGGTGCGAGGGCTCTGGATGCCGGATTTCAAAATCACTGAATCCCAGAGAAGCCTAGGAATTGGGGGTTTAGGGTTTAGGGTTTAGGGCTTAGGGTTTTAGGGTTTAGGGGTTTAGGGTTTAGGGTTTAGGGATTTAGGGTTTAGGGGTTTAGGGGTTTAGGGTTCAGGGTCGATTCACGGGCTCTAAAAAAGGGCACCTCAGTCCGTAAATGGTCCACTGGGGGCCCGAAAGTGCGGTGGTAGTTGTTCGAAATACCATAAGGAACCCAGAGACTCCAAAACCCCTTAATTAAGGAATATACCTTAAATTATACTAGGAACCTTAATATGATTTAAGGTATATTCCTTAATTAAGGTGTTTTGGAGAGACTGGAAGGTTCATTTTTTAGTAAGGAGCCCCCGTTAAGGGGCATCTACCCATCATAGAACCTTTAGAACAGCACCCTGCCACCACACTCGGCATTCGAAGCCACGAGGCAGTTTAAATGTTTTCTGGGATCAACTGGCAGGGATTTAGGGATTTAAGGTTTAGGGATTGAGGGTTTTAGGGGTTTAGGGTTCACGGACCCTCGCCTGAACCTTGTAGGTCTG